CCCTTGGCTAGCGAAGATGCAGATACATAGGTACAGAGAGAGTGCACGATATGTACATGAATATGCATCTATATACAAAACATTTAAATATATAATACAGTGGTTTCAAAATAATATACATTTTAGTTTCAAAAGAAGTTTACAGAATTTCAGATGGATTCTTTCTATAATATCAACATTACCATGCCCCCAATTTCACATCCATACAATAGTATGGGTTTCACAACTTTATCGAAAAGATCTAAGTGACACTGAATGGAGAAATTATGTATGCGGCCCGATTTCAACACATTAAACATAACTTTTGTAGCTTTTTCTGCTAGGTGCTTCTGTGCTATTTAAGTATTACCAGTTCTAGATAATAATATGCCCAAATAGTTAAATTCTTTAACAATTTCAATGTCAGTGCCGTCTATATCAAAATGTAAATTTGACGGCATTCTGCCTCTAGAATAAATCATCACTTTAGTGTTCGTGACGTTAACTTTAAGCTTCAAAACATTACAGTATTCACTGAAAGAATTCAGGTGTTCCTGTAAATCATTAGCAATTTCTGCCAATAGTACTGTATCGTCTGCATAAAGGATTACAAACAGTTTTAAATAAATTTGAAGCTTGGAATCAATTTCTTCAGAAATACTCCCAAACCAGGGGCGGATCCCGGATTTTAGGTTAGGGGGGGGGGGGGGGGGCGGAGGGAGCAAACTTAAATTTTCGACGAGCTGTGCGAGGCGAAATTTTTTTTGAGGTAAAATTATCGAAATATTCTTCTAGAGTGTTGAGACAACCCATGCTTTGGGGGGGGGGGGGGGGGGGGCAATTGAAGCCGCTCCTGCAAGCCCCCGTAGTCTTTTGTCTTCCAAAAAGTGTTCTAGGTCGTTTAAGTATAATGCAAATAATATAGGGGACAAGTTTTCGCCTTGAAGGACACCTTTGTTACAAATAAAATAATCTGAAACATTACTGTTATATACATTATTTGGTTTAATATTTTCATATAAATGGATAATTACATTATACATTTTCCCATTTATATGTTGAGTAAGCAACTTAACCCAGAGTCCATCCGTGACGCCAAATGGTATCAAAAGCTCTTTCGAAATCTATAAAGGCTACAAATAACTTTTTTTCTTTTGTTTCAAAATATCAAAAAAAGCCGACAATGTAAATAAGTTGTCTGTCGTACTGTATCCAGATCTAAAACCACACTGACTTTCATTCAAAACATCAACATTTTCGACAAATGTCTTAATTCTTTCATTCAAAAGTGCAGTGAATAATTTACTCATACAACTGAGAATAGTAATCGGTCTAAATTTTTTGGGATTATATCTATCTCCCTTATTTTTGTATACTGGTTTTATATTGCCAATCAACCATTTGCTAGGTATTATACCCGTGTCAAATATCATGTTAAACACTTTTTCATAAAATGGTAAAAACACATCAACAGTAGATTTTATATATTGCTTTCCTTAAATTGTTTAACATATCACAGCGGTATAACATGTTACTTTAATCATTCTTCCCTTAGTTTATTTTTTTTGTATTTACATTGTATCATAGATCTAATTTATTTGTTCAGTGTATGTACACTGGTGTTAATATGTCTTTTGATTGAGTTAAGCCATTTCAATTGATATTTTATAGTGTGTCTTTCTATGTTGTGATGTTACACTATTGTTTCAGATAAGGGTGAAGGTTTGGTACCATTAAAACGTTTAAACCCGCTGCAATTGTTTGCACCTGTCCTAAGTCAGGAATCTGATGTTCAGTAGTTGTCGTTTGTTGATGTGGTTCATAGTGTTTCTCTTTCTCGTTTTTTATATAGATTAGACCGTTGGTTTTCCCGTTTGAATGGTTTTACACTAGTAATTTTTGGGGCCCTTTATAGCTTGCTGTTCGGTGTGAGCCAAGGCTCCGTGTTGAAGACCGTACTTTGACCTATAATGGTTTACTTTTATAAATTTTCACTTGGATGGAGAGTTGTCTCATTGGCACTCATACCACATTATCTTATATCTGATCATATCTATCTATAGGTATATCCGGTTGTTGTTTTCTTTTCCCTTGATTTAATAGTTTCCAGAATTCTCCTGGATTTTTCGATTTTGAATTTTTCATTTCTTTCATCATTTTTTTCTATGTGAAATAATTTTTTTATCTAAGATTTTTTTTTATATTTTTTTTTTCAGTAAGTCGTAAGTTCTGTTTTTGTTGAACAGAAGATTTTGTAGAATTATTTCTCTTTAGTTTCCTATAATTTTGCCTGGCAAATCTACACTCCTCATCAAACCAAGGTTTATCTACTGGTTTTACTTTCTTTCGTTTCTTTGGTTTGAAAATACCAAACGTATTTCTAGCTGAATCTAGCATAATTTTACAAACAGCCACAAAAATCGTATCAACCTTCAATTGGTCTATATTATCACTTGATATTTGATTTAGACTTTCAAAAATAATGTCTTTTCATCTAGTGAAATATTGTTTTTAAAATCATTTACTAAATCCCAATTCCACTTTTTAATTTTTTCATCGTTTTCATTTGTGTTTTGTGGAATATTTCCAGAATCAGGATGTTCTTGATATGTGTTCTTAAAAGAAACTGTTATAGGAGTAGGTAAATCAGAAAATAATTCAGAAAAATCGTGCAGAAAAAAGTTGCAGACAAATCTTAACAGATATACAGATGTGATAACATAATCTACAACGCTAGCATTTCGACAACTAAAATTTCCCGAGTTACATCCCATTCGCCCATTCAAAATAAAAAGCGAGTTTGCCCGACAAAACTCTAATAAAAGATTTCCATATCTGTTTTTCACCTTATCTGAACTTTGTCTTAATAGCGGAATATTAAGTTCATCTAAAACTACATAATCGTTCTCAATAAACCCAAAAATTTGATTCTCTTTATCGTTCATTGTTGTATAATCAAAGTCGTTACCCGTACGTGCGTTAAAATCCCCAAGCAGACAAACATTATTACTTTTCGCTGCGAGGTCTATGTATTCATTCGCAATTTGTCGAAATGCATCGTCTGTAGAATATGGACTGTAATCAGGTGGGACATATACAATACCAAAATAAAGATCATCATCAGTTTGTAAGTAAGTTTGACAGCAAAAACTGCCTTTTTTTTCTTTTTTCTTTTTATAGAAATTTCAGTTCCACACTGGAAACTCTATAATTAAATTTACAACAAAAAGGAACATTTTATGTTTTTTTTTCGGGGCGGTGGTGTTCTTTTGCCCCATCTTACGGTGTTTATTCGTCCCATTTCGTTTGCTATGCTGGTTTCTATAGTACCGTTATAGATTTCAATGAATGTATGACTGGTAAATCGTTGTCAGGAATTTCGTTACCACAAATTTCTTAAAAGTATCGACAGGATGTACTCAAAAATGTACATATATAGCAGTATATATTTAGTTATGTTTTCATTTATCAAAAATAAAACCAATGTTAGTACCGATAAAAAACAATATTTAAAGATTTTACTATGGTGTTAAATTGATAATTATTAGGTCAGGATTTCGTTACCTCACATTTATTAAAACTTTTTACTCAATTCTTTCAAAGATATAAAGATTTGGTTAGGAATTTTGGCTGATTTCTTATTAAAAACGGGATATCACATCCTATCTTTACGATGATGTTGTTTATAGAGCCTGTAAAATTAGATACGATCCATGTAAACTCATTGATCCTTTGAATAAACTTATTCTTTAAGGTTATCTATTTAACACCGTAGTAACATCTTCAAACATTGTTTTTATCTGTACTAACATTGATTTTGTTTTTGATAGATTAAAACATAACTAAATATATATTGCTATATATGTACATTTATGAGTACCCTGATCCTACATCCTGTCGATACTGTTAACTTATATATATTGACATTTATACACAAGGTCATGCGTTTCTCGGACTATTTATGGTGCCTTTACACTTAATCCTGTGGATGTGTACGTGATACTTTAGTCTGGGAAACATAATTTATTTATTAGTTGTAATTGGCATTGAACTAGCTTTCAGTAACTGCGAGTACTCTTTTATCGGTGCTTTGTATCTATTAGTTTTATGTTAGTTGTTTTCTTGGGCTCCACCGATAAATTGAGTTAAGCCATTTGCAACTTATTATTACAATTTTTGTATGTTGTGCTGTAACACCACTGTCCCAGGTTAGGGAGAGGGTTGAGTGCTCACAAACATGTTTAACCCCGCCAAATTCTTTATGTACCTGTTCCAAGTCAGGAGAATGCCGTTGGTTCATGTCTGTCATATTTGTTTATTTTGTAATATGTATTGTATAAATTTTGCCGTAAGTTTTCTCGTTCGAATTGTTTCAAATTATTCATTCTGCTGACTATGCGGTGTTTTTTTTTTCTCATTATGGAAGGACGAACGGTGACTTATAATTGCTTTTATCTTCGTCAATTGAACGCTGGTGGATAGTGGCAATCATACCACAGCTCCATACTTTTATATTTAAAATTTGATTAGGACAAAACAGTTACTTTGTCAAGATACATCTTCCTATCAATTGCCATAGCAGAGTATTTGAACAGACAACTTTATGGCAAAATGAATGGTTTTTAGTTTGCCAATAGTGAATTGTATTGTTCTGCCTAATAAAACATGGATATGGAGATTTTCAAGTAAGAATGACAACGTGTTGGTAAACAAAATTGAAACAGCAGCTGAATGAAACAATAACAATTGTTGAGAATTCTAGAGGTGAACTTACGGTCTTGAAAAATTGATTGACGGCCTTTTGTACGATACTGATTTACAGATAAAACATGAAAAAACGTTGATCAGTTAGTTTTTGTACCATAATTTTTTTTTTCAAATATTCGTGAACGCTTGATAGTCTTAAAAAGACAATGAAATTGGCATTACAATTTTCAAATAATATTTTCCTTAAAGTTTGTGCTTGATAATTTTGTAAGTTTTGAGCATCGCCGTAAAACACGTGAAGCAAGAAAACTATGTAAATTTATTGAATTTTATTTCCGTACAAAGCAAATACAGCATATTTTATGTTTTGCTGTAGTATCTTTAAATTCTTTATGAACATGAGAAAACGAGGACATATGTGTAATTTTTGTCTTGGTTTAATACAAACAGCTTTCGACAATCATTACTGAAGACCATATCAATAGGGTATTTCATAAAATTTCCTTCATCCAGGATGACGTCAAGTAATTTTCCGTTTGATGTAAGTCTTTGGATATTATAAGAACTGTTACCGGTCAGGTACATGTTACCTTTCTTGTCTGTAATCACAGACCGAAGTGGTTTAAGATCCTTCGAAGTGTATTTAAATTGGAGGTGTCCTTCCAGGTCAACACAGGTTACATCCATATGAGTGCTATCTATATAGTAAACACTATCATGAGGACCAGAATGTAGATAGTCTATACTACCAGCATCTGATACCTTCACTGTGGTTATAAGTTGCCCCTGTTTATCAACAATATATAAGTATCCTTGATGTCCACCAACGCAAATCTTGTCATTGACAATAGCGACAGCGTAACAATCACCAGGTACAGAGAGTGTAGAACCAGGTTTCATTGTTTTAGTGTCGATAAATTGTATGGACTGCTGATGAGGTTGAGTAACGACAGCTTTTTCTGCACCGGGTATAACAGCTATGTCCCATGGTTCACCAGACAACTTACAGTCCTGCAAGTAATCACCACTGTCACTGTATACCAGGACGTTTTCACCATAGAAGTTACAGAGTAAGAGACGGTTGTCATCTGTTATTCCCATACTGCTTATCCATACATCATCATGACGTTTTATTTCTATTTTACGGTGTAATTTAAAGTTCTTTGACTTTTTGATACTAGCATCTAATAAAGGAATTTGAACTTGTTGCATTTTAGGTAGCTTATAATCGGCATTGTATTGCATAGAACTTAGTCTGGTTATTCCCAAAGATATAAACGTATTCTTAATGTTGTCTGGTGGATGAAATGTAACCCTTCTTGTCTGAAGAAACGGTAGGATTTCCTCAAGTTTATTCTCGTAGTCTGAAATTTCTAATTTATATTGATTAAGCAGAACAAACATTTGCTTATTTGAACCATATTTGAGTACTATATCTACTTGATCGGACATTTGTTTTATTGGTTTTGCTATTTGTAATAATTTTTTTTTACTTGATTCGGATTTTAGTTTTTGTTCTTCCTTTAGGCAATACGAATCTTGTCTAATTTTGTCTTCAAGCTCGTCTAATCGGTTAATGATTCCGGCTTTATGGCTTGCAACTTGTTTGAATATCGTAACTTTATCATAATCATCAAGACTTTTAATATTTTCGTCTTGATTTGTTATTGCTTTATCTAATGTCGTTGCAATGTTAGATAAAGCATAAGATATGTCTTGAAACATAACTGATTTTTTTACATCTTTTGCTGCATCTTCTAAAGGAATCAATTTCTGACAGCAAGAATGGTTGCTTGTTATACAAGCCTGACAGCATAAGCAATCATGTTCCACACAGAAGAAGTCAAGAGTGATACTTTCATGCTTGGTACAATTGTTTTCAAAAGTTAATGTTCCGGTGCTTGTCATATTGTGCTGCGAAAACGCTGCATTCAAGTTGTGGTTTTTGAAACATTGCTGACAAAGGTTGTTTTGACATTGAAAGCAGTATTGAATAGCCTCTGATGAAACCATCTTACTGGAACAGGGGTCACATGCAAACTTCGATGTTTCCATCTTCTCTGGAACAAAGTATTCTGTAATTTAATGATATTTGATATCAATTTTCATGACTAAAGAAAAAAAATAGAACTTCTTCGACGAAAAAAATAGATACAAGAAAATGTTAGTAGTCACAACCAGCTTTGTTTTTACAAATAGAAAGTAAAAAATAGTCAGCGAACCAGAACTATTTAAAATTATTAGAAACTAAACTATTCAAAAAACAGATGTCAGGGATATATATCTTGTTCTTGAAACACCTTCATCAAATACCTTTGAAATTGAAATGCCTCTGAACTGAAGAAGAACCCCACAAAAATGTTTGGGAGAATAAAAACTTAAAAGGTTTTTTTTAATTCCAGATATTGCAATGTTTCATTCACTGAAATGATATTAAATCAGCAAAAAGATACCAGGCAGTTAATTTTCTCGTTTCCATTATTTAAAATTTGACATGTCGGGGCCTATTATATTTTATCATGCGGTTTTGGATTTGCTCATTCGTTTTTTAATGGTCAGTTTTACGTCATTTGGTCTCTTATGGAAAGTTGTCTCATTGGCAATCATAACATATCGTCTAATTTCCATAAGGCAACTACGTACGTGATGCAAATTTCTCCTTGGATACTACAAGTTCCACTTTTACAATAGTTTTAACCTCCATATCAAGACCACAAATGTCAACAAAATGTCTTAAAAATGATTCTACAGCCTCTACAAAAGATTTGTCGTTTTGCAGCAAAAACATTGGAGCTGTCGTCTGAATCAATAGTGATCCCTTGTAAACAAACACTATATGAAACCATTTTCCCATCATGAATGAAATATCTTCTATTTTTTCCTTGATTTTATCTACATTCCAGTTTCCCGGTGTTGCCAGCCTCCATTCAACATAGCATACGTCATGATCTAGAAAAAAAGGTCAGTCAATATACAATGAAACAATACAATGCACTTCAATCATTTAACATCATACCTATAAACTCATCACAGATACCAGAATTAAAATTTTATAGGCCAGACCAGCGTTTCGTTTACAAAAGATTCATCAGTAATGCTCGAAAAGTTAAAAGGGCTAAAAAAAAAGTACGAAGTTGAAAGGCATTGAGGACACAAAATTCGGACAGGTGTGCCAAATTCAGCTAAGGTAATCTATTCTTGGGGTAAAAAATCATTAGTATTTCGAATATTCAAAGTTTTGTTAACAGTTACGTTATTACAATATCAATGATACCGATACACAGAATTTAATAAGGGTATATAAATGACCCAAAACTATTAACAGCATAGCATTCTTTTACTTGTTATCTTATATTTTACAAGAACTGTCCTTATTCAATAACCCTAGCTAGTATAGGAAACCCTGTAAGGAGAGTCCTGTTTGTGTTGTACTTTCATTTGTCCTGATCAAATTCAATGATGAATAAGATAATATGTATGCTCTATAGTCTCTTTTTCATTTTCGAGCTTCAATGTGTGTCTCATATGCAATAGAACAAAGGTTAAAAACGAAATCAAAATAACATCAGGATCATAGCTTAAAAATGAATAATCTGAGAATCATAGTTTCTATAAACATAAAACTTTAACGAAAACAAGATCACAAAACACACACCATGCGAAACTGTTTTATTAATGGGATCTGCAGCCTTTGGTAGTTCTCTTTGCACCACTGTTTTGACTTCAAATACAATATCCCGTATGGCAACAGAGATATCTGTGAAAAGATAACAGAATGTTAAACATACTGCATGAAAGAGAATCGCCACGCTTATTCCATTCTCATCCATTCTCATTCCTCTTTAGTTTTGTTGTTTTATTAAACATATATTTATTAACTAAATTTAAGAAAAAATATGTTGAATGTTGTCGTTGGTGTTTGTTTGTATATTTTTCTGGATTAGTTGGTCGTTAGTGGTTAGTGTGATCTGTTTAACTGTCATATATTGTTGGTGATTCCTATTACCTCTTTATTTTTTGTTTAGATAATACGACATTGTATGTCGGTTTTGCCTTGATATCTTTTACATGTCTATTTGCTGTAGTGATTTGTGCTTTCAGGTATTTTAATTTAGGTAATTTTTCGGTTCTCGAATATGTAAAGACTTTTTAGTGTATTTTGTGCTCAATATGATAAAAAAAAAACGGTTTACTTTGGCTTATTTCAAATACCCCAAAACGAAAATTCTTTATAAATTTCATGCGTCCGAAGCACTTTTCTGTATTTACCTTCATCAGGAACGCTCAAAAGCCGAATATTTGAAAACCAAGGATGTATAAGAACCGAAACATTTGAAGAGCTTTGTGACCAAAAAGGACCTAAAATTATAGCTAAACCAATCTAAGGTCAACGTTGCTTGATGGAGTTACAACTTAATAATGAATAAAATGTAAAATAGCAATACACGGAAGTAGAAACCAAGATCTAACTCTTCCAAGAAAGAACCTACGTACGATAAGAACAATTGGAAGACAAAAATTGCAAGCAGAAGGTTAGAATATATGCTTTGGAATCTATAAGATATAAGGTTTTTAGATTATAAAGAACACATTGTCCATGTTAAACACGATTTTAACAGTATGTTTTAATGTTTTAATGTTTTATGCATATTCAATAACATTAACGGTACCAATTTGTATGCACCAGATGCACTTTCCGACAATTAATGTCTCTTCAGTGATGATCAAGGCCGACATATTTGAAAATCCAAAATCCAACAAAACGCTGGAAGAGAGAAGTCTTTCATTTGAAAACGCTATTTACTAACTCCGATCAAGGCCATTTCTCAAAAAGGTATCAAAATAAACGAAAGATGCAACTTTTGATCTCAGTAGTTAGTTCGTGAGGACTGACATCATTTATATAACATACTTTTTACAAATGATTAAGGTGTAATACCACCAAATCATAGTACGTCACATCCGGTTGCATACGAAAATAGGTCGAAAAAAAATATTCCCTTGAATTTGACAGTTGTAGGTAATTGATCCTACATTTCATTGCAGTAAAACATTTCTGGGTCATAAACATATATCTTGGGTATTTCAAAGCACCATTATTTTTTTATTTGGGGTTTCTATAGAATATTTTGGAAACTTGAGGTTACATGGTTACTAAAGCTTGTACACAGGTTAAAAAGGGGGAAAATTTGATTGGTTAACTTCCAGTGATGGTTATTTTCTTATATGCAATGAAATGTTATGTGAAATTTTTTCTATGGTACTGGACAGGATAAAACTTTACTCATGCCAAGTATTTCTTTATTTGAAACAAAGACAAATTCTGCACAATTTTTTGAAAAGTGCAAATTTAACAAAGACTAATAGGGGAAAATCAATGGTGGTATTACACCTAATATGGGAAGCTGTACATGCACCTTTGACCTTGTGAGTACTCTCATGTGTTAAAATTTCTTGCTATTTAAGTGAAATACTACAAATAATGAAATATTCTGAGTGGATTGAGTCTCCAAAACACATTTTATGAGAAAATTTCCTTGAAATAGGACTTTACCATGAATATTAGTTGACAGAACAAGCCATACTTAGAGCTTTGGGGAGCTTTTTCTCCTTATTTCTTATATTCTGCTATACTAGAAAATTTTTCCTAAGAAATACTTTAATAAATATATAGTTTTAAGTAAATGAAATTATTTTTAAAGCAGTAACAACAAATTATTCACCAAAAGAGAAGCTTTTTATGTCCCTCTCTGGAACGCGGCGTAAATTTAAGTTTTACGCAAGGACTTATCGAAACCTCCTTGGAGACAGTAAACTTTTATACGGATAGTTCATTCAGCTTGAATACTTCAATTAATCATTTATTATAACATTTCTATCATAAATGAGTGAAAGTTACCCTAAAATTTTTATTTATTGGCCTAAAAAGTAGAAATTTTGAGGAAATGAGAGGTATAAATGGACCAAAAGAGACCTTATAAGGAAGACAAAGAGGTCCATTAGTAGTATTTATCATCCTAAAGTCATCTTTTGTATCATATTCAACTGTTTGTAGGCAGATGAGATAAATATTTGATCATTTATTGGTCCACACGATATTCTATCATGATGCAGCTTGGTTTGGATTTTTCGAAGAAATTTTGCTCGAATCGCTGTAGATGTCATCTTACATTATGCTAGATTTTTCTCAAACTATTGAACTGATTATGACAAAACTTGACAGGAATGCTTGAAATAACCAGTATTACAAAGGAAAAAAGTCACATTCAGTTTATTTAACAAAAAAGTCTTCTTTAGGTGTAATACCACCAAATCATAGTACGTCACATCCGGTTGCATACGAAAATAGGTCGAAAAAAAATATTCCCTTGAATTTGACAGTTGTAGGTAATTGATCCTACATTTCATTGCAGTAAAACATTTCTGGGTCATAACATATATCTTGGGTATTTCAAAGCACCAATATTTTTTTATTTGGGGTTTCTATAGAATATTTTGGAAACTTGAGGTTACATGGTTACTAAAGCTTGTACACAGGTTAAAAAAGGGGGAAAATTTGATTGGTTAACTTCCAGTGATGGTTATTTTCTTATATGCAATGAAATGTTATGTGAAATTTTTTCTATAGTACTGGACAGGATAAAACTTTACTCATGCCAAGTATTTCTTTATTTGAAACAAAGATAAATTCTGCACAATTTTTTGAAAAGTGCAAATTTAACAAAGACTAATAGGGGAAAATCAATGGTGGTATTGCACCTTAAGAAACTTGATTAGGGAAAGTTGACCTGAGATGAACTTGGCTATTCTTATTTATTTAGACTGTCATCTCATGTGTCTCATTTATACAAAGAAAAAAAGAAGCTAACGGACAATCAAAACCCATAAAGCGAATAAAAAGAACAACACTATGGCAGAAAACTAAAAACAACAGTCCTCAAAACAATACTCGGAAAAACTAAGGATTGAACAGTTCGATTCCCACCAAAACCGGGGATGAACCAAGGTGCCCAAGGGAGGGTTAGAAGTTTCGTTTCCACTAGTGGCATCCGTCATGTTACTCTTTGAAAAAGAATTACCTTTTTGTTCTTCAAGTCGGCTGATTACCTCGGATTCCATTGCTTCAGTTTTCTCTGCTAAATTCCTAGTTTGATGTGCTAATAATTCAGACGTGCGGTTTTGCTCTTCTATAAATATTTCGAGAATCTGTAAAGATTATTAGTATATACACATGTAAAACTCAACCAATTTCTAGTGCGTGGATGTACTTTTGTATGAACGCATTGTAATAAATAGATTCTAATAGAATTTGCGATTTAGAAAACAATAACCAATCGAATATTAAGGTGGATAGGGAGTCTTAATTAAAATCCATAGAATTTTTTAATAATTTGTCAAAATGTAGTTTTTATCGTGTTTTTTTACAAAATATAATAAAGAATATGGGTCACCGGACTTTATTGTATAGATTATGCATGGAAAATCCAATTTTGTGAGATAAAAAGAAAATTACATCATAGAATTTTAAGATAAAATGTGAAAATATAGCTCTTATAACATGCTTTCAGATAAGAAAAAGAAAAAATAGGGTCATTGGACTTGTTTTCTTGCTACATATTAAAATAGGTAAATTCATAACACTTTCTATTATAAAAATTACTTTATCTGAGTTATCTCCCCTAATGTGGCAAAGTTAAATCAAAATGAATCAAACAAAAATATTGTGGTTTATAGAAAATACAGACGTAAATATGATAAACCACATACTATCCTATATTAACATGAAAAGTCTTACACATGAGTAACATACTACTCTCAAAATTTGCACATTTCATTAAAGATCTGCTACTACAAAATTCAAGATGGAGGAAGACACCCCAGCCACCTTAAGCATTGTCTCCTGGATCGTTCATTACAGAAAACATCATTTTAGATCATTGTTCCTTAAATTACCTCCGGCTCCAACGAAGAGACATTACTTTCCAATATGCGTATTTTAAAATCTCTACATACTTCTAGTGTCATAATTTAAGAGGTCACATAATAATCTTTATACAGCGGATTGATTATCCCCAAAATAGTTTTAGGTACATGTTTTTGATAAGTTGTACGCTTTTTTTTATTTGTATCTTATATATGGATTTTTGACATTTGAACGTCGGTAAAAAACTGTTGCCTCCAAGTATTAACAGTGTAGTCGGTTATTAGTAAAATGTTTAGTAACATCTTCGACGGTTACCATGACTACCAAATTGTCCATAAGTAAGCTTTTCAATATTCAGTAATGCTTACAGTACCACGAGAAAGAAAAAAAAAAACAAAACCAGGAATGGGTAGGCGGAAAAGAGTCGGCATCATATGGCATTATTTTGGTTCTAGAATTCTAAAATTAAAAAGAATTCAAATGTCTAACATATAATTTTTCCGATGCGATCGTCAAATTAGCGTTAAGTTTAATTTTTTCGATATATTTGTTTGGATCTTTTTAATCTTCTAGCAACTAAAAATTGCCAAAAGAATTTCATCTTGATAGGAAAATATTCATAAATGAATAACAGCCTGTCCAAAAAGACTGTTGGGCATATTAGTATTCAATTTTATCAAAAACTATATACAAATTGGCCATGTTTCTGACGTCGTAGTTATATTCCAGCAAACATTTATTCACTAAATATATCAAAACATGAATTTACTATTTAGTCCTTCGGCAATATTGATCATAAATTGATTTAGCTATTATTTTAGGTCCTTTTTTGCTTTTTGGTTTATATAGCTCTTCACGTATTTCGGTTCTTATACATCCATGGTTTTCAATTTTTTGGCTTTGATAGATTCTGATATAATTTAACATACTGCAGTTGTATGCAAAATCTTATAAAAATCAATGACACGACCCATTTACTCTAACTTGACCATAAAAAAGTTCTTAACAGATTTTAGGACAACGATTCGATCATATGATAAGAACCATCCACATTTGTTTAAAAACATTTCCATTTTTAGTTCATATTGGACTTAGCAGGCAACGGTTACTCACTTTTCTATAAAGAACAGAACAACCTCAACATGTGCTTCCGAGACTTGTGGTTGTAAGTATTACTAATGTACAGATTTACTTCGGTATCTATACATGGACCAGAAATGATGCAAGACCGAACAGTATTTCTCGACACTGTAACTCTCAATTCCCATTTTAACATTGAAAAATGTGTGCAACTGTGATGATAATGATGATAGAATTCGAAATAACTCACAGCAAGTTTGAAGAGTTTAAAGAATATATGATGATCTAAGAGATCAAAGTGAAATAACAATAAAAAGTGTAAAAACAGTGAGGAAAAAATCATATGATCAACCAGACAAAGAACTTTATACCATAAGTGGTTGCTGACAAATAACTTCGTTTTCCAAGGTGTTAGTATTTAACTAATGGTCAACTTCCAAGTAAAACTAAAGTGTTTTTAATTATTTGCATACTTTTACACAATTAAAAATTTTTAAAAGGTTAGATGAAAGCATTGGCTTACTTTAAGGATCCCGAACAATGAAATATGGTACTACAAATGTATTTAAAAAAGATCCTCATATTTGTTGTTCTGTTTAAACTGAACTGAGATATATGTCTGCTTCGACCTTTCATTTAATCTGAATTTCGGTTTATGTACTGTCGATATGGTAATCATCAAGTCCTAAGTTTGAAAAAAACGAAAACAAAACCAATTAAATATGATCCGAGACAATCACTAACGGGATTCCTGACTAGGAAAAGGCACATGACTAAGTAGGATTTTGAGATCATAACTCCCCTTAGGATGTCGAATGATACAAAAACAAGAGATGAAAATATAAATACCAATAAAAGTAAAGCATAGAGAAATCACTTTAACTTTAAGAAAACTTTGAAATCTATACCTGACGGATATTGTCGTTGTTGTTCTTCTTTAGGTCTTTGGTGATAATTGTCGACAGATCACTGTCTTTGAAAATAGATATTTTTTCTTTTGTCATTTTAAGAAATACAGGACCTACTACATCTGCTATCTTCAATAGTGATTCTTCAATCAAAGAAAATTTTTGATCATATTCAGTCTTCGATATTTTATCACTCGGCGAATGAGCAATATGATTTCTTGTTTCTTTAATATCTTTTATCCATTCTGGATTTCCAGAAATTGACCCAGGTGGGCAACACGACTTCAATACAGCAGACATAAGTGTTATATCCATAAAATCCACAGTAGTTGTTCGTTTTGCCGAAATACTGCATAGGCATATTTGTTTTATCTGAGGTCCTTTTCTTCTTTTATGACCATGGACTTCTTTACTTTCGTCTGTTTCAAACAATAAATCAAACTGACTAGTAGTAAGACGACTTATTTGCTTAATATCCCCCAGAGAACGTGTTTTACATTCACAGCATTCAGTAGATGGATATAATGCATGAACTAAGATATGTTTATGGTTGTCTAAGAAAATAAAAAAGTTCAACGAGTTTAAAACTTTTATCTCAAAGTAAAGGTGTAGCGTTTCTGTGGCTGGTCCAGTGATAAATGTCAAAAGCCTTATAAAATACTCTTTTCTTTTCTCTTCACCCTCTGCCATTTTTCTTAAAATTCTGCAAGAGAGTAATACCTAAGTTATATACAAAGGAAAAACGTCTTATACTAAACATGCTTTACGCAAAATATAGCTTCTATTATATTTGTTTATGTTTTTAGCAGAGGTAGATTTATGAAAGGAGTGTATTTGATATTGATGTTGATTTAATTCGTAAAAAGGTTATTCATTTTTCTCCTTCGTTTCAGGAAAACTACCTAGTAGTTATTTGAAATATCATCTTCGAAATAACCTACCCCCCCCCCCCCCCCCCCCCCCACACACACACACATTTGTTATGTGCCTATAATTCAGTGGTTGTCTTTGTTTCATGTCTTTCATACTTAGTTTTTCGTTAATTGAATTGTTATAAATTAAGCCGTTATTTTTATTGTTTGCATTGTTTCATATTTTTCGTATCGGTGCCTTTTATTGCTGAGTATACGGTATGGGTTTTTTCATAGTTAAAGACCGTACGGTGACAAATAATGTCATATATCTACGCCATTTGACGTCTTGTAAATAGTTGTCAATCATGCGATTTTTGTCTATTTTCTTTACTGTTATATACTAAGAATAAAAGTACGGGTAAACAAAAATAAACAAAAACGTTTCTGTGATTGTGGTTTCCACATGTTTTATGCAATGTAATACCTATAGTTTTAAATTGTTAATTGCATGGTTGTGATGAGTATAAGCGAAATAAGTTTCATGAGAGATCTACTGGACGTCACAAATTTTGGGGTTGTCTCATTTTAGTCCTTTCCTTCTAAAATAATATAACAATGAAAATACTTATACAAATATAAATCATCGGATCTTTTAAAGTAAAATTAGATGTGACATGAACAAATTGTTAGTGAAACTAAAAATTGCAATAAATATTAAAAAAAAGGCATATGGCGACTCAAATGCAGAATGTAAAATGGCAAGTTCATATGATCTTATAAAAACTCCTTCCTTTAAATGAGAATATACAGAATAATCACCACAGAGTATGTGTTTCCTGTGTTAATGAAATTTAACTGATTCATTTTAAATTCACAACATAATAAAAGGATACAGTTCATGAAAAAAAGACATGTTTATTGTTGTCTAAGAAAATAATTTAAAAAAATTGACGAGTTTAAAACTTTCACAATAAAGATGTAGCGTTTTTGTGGCTGGTCCAGTAATAAATCGTTCATCTACTCAATGGTGTAATTGTAAAATTTTCAATCCTTCTTATGTAAGAGAAGGCTGAATCGTACTTTGTAAAAACCTACACAGATTCAAACAAAATATTCTATGAAATTGACATAATCAATCATACTTGTTACGTTTAGAGGACGTGTTTCAAAAAAACAAAATCAATCGGCATTTCTATGCAATCAACTGTGTGCCTCTTCTGCAGACATTGGCCTGTATTCATATAAGACTCATTGCGCTATATGAGTCACATCCTCTCACTAAAAAATTCAAAGTTCCGTGACTATGTTGACCAAATATATTCCATCGAACTTAAAAATAGAATCGCAAGCGTTAATAACTGTATAGTTTATTCAACGGATCGATAAGCTAACATGGGTCGTATCTAAATTTGCGGGGTCTAAAAACAACATCACCGTGAAAATGAGGATGTAATATCCAGTTAATAATAAGTCGTCAACAGGTACAATCAAACTTCGAAACTAAATCTGTATATCTTCAATAGAATTAAGTAAAGGTTTTAAGAATTTTGTGGTAACGAAATCTTTGACTTACACTACAGACACCGGCTTAGCTACCCAGTTGGGATATGTACACACTGCATGATGGAGCCAAAGTATCATCACCGTCCAAAAAAGGAAAATCAACAATCGTCAGCTTTGCCTTATATTTTGAGTTACATTTAGAAATTGATAAACGATGGTCGCTTGAGAAAAACAACTTCACGAAAGAGGAGAAGATTTCAGCTTCAGAATAGTAAATTTGGTACATATCAGAACATATGTGTGCATTCGCTTTCTCCATTTAGTTTTATGGTTACCTAGATTTTCATATCCAGAGTAACAATCTTGCTGAGGGCCATCAGATTGGTTGTGTAGTATGTGAAATACACAGCCACGTTCAATTTATTGTGAAACATTTAATCCAATTCAACGTATTGAAAGGGTGCAAAAATACATGTATGTGCATGTTGGAGATTCGTCGTAATAACTCTGGATAGATTCGTTGATAGCATGCTTGCAAAGTAAAATTACTGCTGGAATTAAACATTCCGACTTTCCACAATGCAAAGATAACCTTAGCCAGATTGGGCTCGACTTATTTGCTTTGTTTTGTATGCTCTACAGATTCAATTTCAAAGTTTTTATTTTATCGATGAACTTTGTTAGGAAAGTTATTTGTTGTATCTTAAACAATATAAGTATTCCTCGACCATAATAACACGAATCTATTTTTTTTTTAACTAACCATTTATCGGTAGATTTAAATTCGTGAATTACAAAAATGTACATATGACCTTAGGTATTACTATAACATTGAAAACAATGATTTTAGTTTGTTACCCGGATTTGTTTTCGCTTAATTGATTTATGACTAGTGAAGCGATATACTGCTGTTGCTTTATTCATTAAGCTTTTCAATAACATATAAATGATATTCACGAGTAATTTAACAAGAGACACACTGTATTCATTGTAGACAGAAATTGTCACGGTTTTGAAAAGAAATATCACCATTAAACGAAATGTAAATATCATTTGTCTTTAACTAATCATCCAGTTCTCCCCTTTATGTTAATTAACGAGTTTTTAATATTTAACTACAGATGACAACGAATTACTTCTATGAAGTTCTTTTTGTTGAAGCCACTATTTCATCCTCATTATTCATTTAAACGTGATTAATTTTCATTTACTTATTCAAGATTTAAAAACCTCTCTTACTTTCATTGAAGTTGACTAGAAGCTACTAGTAATCAATATTATCGTATGCAGATAAAACAAATTCATGCGCACCCGGAACCATTCATTCATAACTTTCGATTATTTAGGTTTGAGAGTTCCTGATGAAGGTAAATACAGACAAGACTCTCATATCAGAGATGAGGTTTACTAAGCATATTGTGAAGTATCAAACTATACATTTAATTTATCTTTACGTCCATTGTTTATGTCTGTCACCTGTGTTTGTCGTTTATTTCTTGTATCGAATTATTTATTATGATAATTTGATAGAGCATGTCTCAAATGAATCAATACGTGAATATTGATCTAGTAAAAGAAGACAATCTAATTGTCTGTTCCTAAATCATAGTGGTTCTATCGACAAATATATCAATGTAAAAATAATGACAATAAAAACCAACTATATTTAATGTGAATTTGATCGTTCATTTAAAGACTTCTCCGTTGAATATAAACATACATACCTTTCTCTACTGGTAACCTGTTTAAAGTCACGTGTGTTTATATTAGATTGAATTACATAATATGCATGAATCTCTTTCAATGCCTATTCTAAGTATCGGTTAGTCTATGAAAAGGTATATACCTTTATTATTGATAGTTTATTTTGATATAAAATTATAAATTTAACTAGCTATGGGACTGCCATTGATAGTTTATTTTGGTTGACTACTTGCATCACAGGTGTTTGTAAAACGGAGTTCATTAACTAAGTTTTATGTTTTGTAAATTTGCTCAATAGTTGCATAGCAATCATATTTGTTCATTTTCAGACAAATTAAAAAACAGTGAGAGATAACTTTTTTGAATTTCACAGTAAAACTAAAACAAACTAAATGAAATGGATCAACTTCCTTAAGAAAGTAAAAAAAAACTTCGTCAAGTTGCATTTGATAATTTACTTACACGAGGTTTCATAGTACATGTACAAACATTTTGCGTACAAATTGATTGCATGGATGATAAATTACCACAAATATAGGATAGCGTTGTACTCTAATCAAGGCATTAAGGACCATATTTGTTATTATTTATTTAAATAAAAGAACTTGCAATTGTCAAAAATATTTTTTAAAACCAAAGATTTAGATAGCAGGAAATATAAACATCGATGTGAAAACTCATTACAAACATATTTTTTTTTAAATTTGGGACACAGCATTTTATTCCAAAGTTGCCAGTGGCAATTTTTGTTTTAATATCTTTATTACGATATAATGAAATCTTACTCTTGTGGTCATTCATTACCTAGTACACGGAAAAAGTATGTACTATGAAAGTTAGAAGGCAAATTCAAGCAATTTGATTGGACGAGAAGTTGTAAGTATGTGCTAAGCATTTATAAAATATAAAAAAGCAAGGAATGTTAAAAACATCAGACATACTTTAATTTTTAAGAGCATTAAATTTTATATTCACATCCTGTTTAATGGTATATCTATATGTAACGACCGTATGCTGATCTCTGGCTGAATCGTTTTATTTAAAGTGTTGATGGGTTGTTTTCTCATTAAATCTTACTAACTCATCTTTGTTTTATACAGGTGACAAATTTATACACTCATAATCCGAACAACAAGTTACCGAAGCTAATAATCATACAAAACGTTCTGAAGACAGGTTGGTAATTTTTTCGCTATTTTCAAAGTTTGTAACATAATGCCCGTTTTTAGGTTTGATTTCAGAGTTTATTAACAAGTAGTAACAGTTTTATAATTTCATAATTTAGAACGAGCTCCAAATTTCGGACAGAAGGGGGATAAACAATAAAACAGGTTTTAAGTTCGGTGACCAATTGTAGTTGTTAACTTCTATGTCATTCTGTTGGAGAGTTGTGTCATTGGCAATCAAACAACATCTTATTTTTATATATCGGAAAATATGTGCTTTTATCTTAATAAGAAATGTTGTACGTCATCATTTGACACATAATAACGTGTTGACTAAATATATATCGAGAACTATTGACGTGCAAAATCTTATATGTAGTCTTGAACCTTTTACTCATACAATCTTTAGATTTGTAGACAAAAAGATATCTGTTCAGTCACATTTCAGGTTACATTTCAGGCCATAATTGAACGAATTCTGAAACAGAATCGTGACAAAACTTTCTTTTATTTGCAACATAAAAATATTATTAAATTATACAGTGTAACTGGTGGCATGTTCAACATCTTTAATCTTTAATTATAATTCGATTCTCTGATTTTTATTTGGTGTGGTGGACCAAATTTAAGGGGATAATCTGAAATAAACAGTACTGTTCCAGAACATAAATATAAATATAAGAAGATGTGGTATGATTGACAATAAACAACTCGAGATCCCCACCAGAGACCAAATGACGTAGTAGTTACAACTGTAAGTCACCGTACGGCCTTCATCAATGAGCATACCAAACCGCATAGTAAGCTTTAAAAAGCTTCGAAATAACAAATGTTAAACAATTCCAATGAGAAAATTAACAGCCTGATTTCTATACAAAATAATGAACGAAAAACAAATATGATAAACATAAAAAACCATAGGGATCACCACGTGACGGCCTTAAATCAATCACAACGTCATTGATATAACCGAAATGAAATAGAAGATTAGATAACGTTCTATGCGGTGAATTGTAAATGCGTGCAGTTGTTACTTTCATTTTTTATAGGAGTAACACGACGGGTATCGCATGTGGAGCAGAATCTACTAACACTTAAGGAGCACCCTGGTTTTTTTTGTGGGATTTGTGTTACTCAGTCTTTGGTTTTCTATTTTGTGTTTTGTGTACTGTTATTTATTTGTCTTTTTCTTCTTTGGCCAAGGCTGATACTGTAGAAAAGATAATGTTATCAAAGAGTAAAATGCGAAGTTTTATTTTTAGTAAATATTTTCGCAGTAATAAAATCAAAGCAAATATTTCCGAATTTACATTATTCTGGTCAACATTTCACATATAGTATAAAATTATGTTGTATTGGTGGTTAATACTAAAACGAGTACTACAAGGATCAACATTATCAAATCAAATTTATGATAGGTGAATGATTAACATATTTAATAAATTAAGTTTGTACTATGCAAAAGAAAATATATCAAAGTAAAGATACATGTATTGTTTTAAAAATATTTACCAAACAGTTTTCTAGTTCGGCTGATGTAATCACATATCCTTGATCCATATAAAACTTTTTTGGTACAAGAAAATTGAAGAAGTTTATTTATTACATTCTCTTTATACAACATATATACTGAATATTGATGATTTATTTGGGCAGAATTCAGTTTTTCTTTATTTACACGAGAATACTAGGATACATGTGTTATCTGTGAATTGATTAACTACAAATAGCTTTCGATAATCATAACTGAAGACCATATGAATTGGATATTCTATATCATTTTCTTCGTTCAGAATGACGTCCATGTATTCTCCGTTTGGAGTTAGTCTTTGGATATTATTGGAATTCATACATGCCACGTACACATTACCTTTCTTATCGGTTATCACAGACTGGACTGAGGGCCTTTTAGATCGTTTGAAGTGTATTTAAATTGTTGTTCTCCGTCCAAAGTAATGCATCATACAGTATCTTTATAAAAGTCTGTACAGTAAATACCACCAAGGGGGCCTGTATTTAGAAAGTATAAACTAACGTCTGGTAATTTAACTGTATTGATAGGTTCCCCTTTATATCGAGTATAGACATGTATAAACCTTGTATTCCCCACACACAAATCTTTTCATTGACGACGGCGACACCCAAAATAACTGACAGATAAAGGTCGTATAGAACCAGCTGTCATTGTTCTAATATCTAAAAAATGTATAGATTTCTCGTCAGGTAGAGTAACGACAGCTTTGTCTTTACCAGGTATTACAGCTATATCACATGGCGAACCGGATAAAATGCAATCCTGTAAATAGGTACCATTGTCAGCGTAAACCAGTAGGTTTGTACTACAGTAATTACAAAGCAATAGACGGTTATCAGATGTGATAACAATACCAGTTATACAAACATTACCAGGGCGTTTAATTTCTATTTTAAGGTCTAATATACATTTCATTGGCGTTTGAGGAACTAATAATGGAATATGGCCTTCTGGAATAATGCATTTTAAAGAATCTAGTCTTATTGATCCCAAAGACCTTACTGTATTCTGAATGTCTTTTAGTGGTTTATATATAGTTTTTCTTGTCTTAAGTGTTGATAGTAATTCTTGAAGTTTGATTTTGCAGGCTACCATTTCTGATTTACACTTGTAATTCAAGACAAACAATTCCTTCTGTGAAGAACACTTCAATACTTGATCTAATTACCTTGATATGCTTTGAATTGGGTTTTTTATCTGCAGTAAACGATTTTTACTAGATTTAGATTTATCTTTTTGTTCCTTTGTTAACGAGCCGGTATCCTGTCTAATTTTGCATTCAAGATCGTCCAATCGTTTTAGAATTACAGCTTTATAACTTTTAACGTTATAAAATATCGAAATTTCATTACCATCAAGACGTATAATATTTTCATCCTGGGTCGTGATTGCTTTAGCTAATGTTGAATTTATATGAAATAAATCATTAGATATGTCTTGAAAAATATCTAATTGATTCATATTTTTTGCTACAGCCTCTAAAGGAACCACATTCTGACAGGAAGAATGTTTTTCTTCAATGCAAAACTTACAACATAAGCAATCGTGTTCCTCACATAAGAACTCGAGACTGCTGCCTTCATGCTTGGAACAAGTGTTTTCTAAAGAAAATATCCCAATGTCTGTCAGGTTGTGTTGCAAAAATGCAGCATTAAACATATGGTGAGTGATACAATGCTGACATAAATATTTTTGACATTCTAAGCAGAATTGAATTGCGTCTGTCGAAAAGTTTTTAGTGGTACATATGTTGAAAGATTCTATACAATCCTATTTCAGTCTAATACATTATGTTATCTGCATTATTCTTGTGATTATGAAGATAATTTATTTGAACCATGAACGTAGTTGTTATTTACCTGTACACATCAACATTGTACTGAATTGTCTGAAAAGCTACTGAACAGTACTGCAAGCGGATTGTCTGAACAATACTGAATTTACCGGAGAGGATAAGTCTGAAAATTGACTGAAAGACTAAACATGACTGAATAATTTATTGCTGTGACTTTTCAGATGATGTTATAAAATCAAAATGACCGTTTCAGACTAAAATTCATTTACTAGTGATGAATTTTCATCTAGTTGGCAAGGTTAAATAATTCTACAACAAAACATTATCGGATAAGCATTTGCTGACGCTAACATCCTTTACGGATGTATCAAAGCCCATCCCCAACTTATGGATGGATAGAACTGTAGACATACTCCGGCAATAACAAGTAGGGTTACATGGTGGAAGAAGGACTTCTCATCGATCACAACAACCACCATTTATCATCTGAGAAATTGGATGTCAAAAAGGTATGCATACTGATACATTCGGACTGAACAAACAGCAG